TACAGTTATATTATGTTCATACAAGTACAAACACAGAATACTATTCCAGCGCAGAGAAAACATATTTTTCATGGTTTTATGTGAATTAAAACTACGTTTCAGAGTACAATAACAATTACATGTTTTGAGTACAACACATTACAACATAAAATATAGGATTTTTTGGGGAAACACACTTACATTTTTAAGGAATAAACAACAGATTTCGATTACAAACATGCTTATGAACTCACCAACTTAATTGTTGACACCTTTTCAAAACTACTTGTATTCTCAGGAAATCAGTAGACGGGTACATCCATGGATTTTTTGAGAAGATGGAACTTCATTGACTCATGTCTTTCAACTTTTTGGTGTCATGTATACAATGACTTGAACACATATGTAAAAACTTATACTTTTTCAATACATGGTTGTTGTAATTTGATTACTATTATGAAATTGTTGTCATATTGTACATGACGTCCTCCGCCCCCGAACGTTTCCGCCGTTCCGGTTTGGGGGTGTGACAGTTTGAGCGGGAGATCTAGAGCTTAAACTCAAACTAGTACCAAAGTCAGTGAAAATAGAAATAGGGAGCCTTTTTTGTGAAGATATCGGGATAATGAAGACCGGAAGGGACATGATGGAATCTGAATCGTTTCACAAACAAAATGAATATCCATCTCTATGTTTGGTGCATTGATGTTGAACAGGATTAGTAGATAAATAAACAACACTAACATTATCACAGTAGATAATGGTTGCTTTGGTTACGGGAGTGAAAAACTCTCTGAGAATATTTTGTAACCAACAAGTTTCAGCTACTGTATTGACCACGCCATCGTATACGGCTTCTCCACTTGAACGCGAGACGGTCTGTTGGTGTTTTGATAACCAAGATAATAAATTATCGCCCAAGAATGTGAGACATGTTGGCCATCAGGGAAGACGGATGACCTATGGAGGGCAGTTGCGTGGTTGGTAGAATGGTAACGGGGGACCAAGTGTTGGTTCCCACTGGTCGCAATGATGTCGGAGGTTGATTTGCGGTTGTTTGTTATTGGTTGGTCGGCACTCTTTGAGGCACTGTGGTAGGTGTCGTGGTCGGTTGTTCTATTTGTACGGGTGGTGGTCGTCATAAACTGGCGATGAACTCCGCCGCGAACCCGACTACCGGCGTTGTTGGTGTATGAGTGGGCGGTTGCCCTTCCAGTGTCAACGGACCACTCCCATCGAGGAGCTGCATTGGTCTGACTGGGCTATTGTCACCACCGTCTGGTCGTATGGATTCTATGTCCGTCATTCTGGCACCTAACGTCTTTAGATGGTTTGTGCGGTAGTAAGTGCACGCCCGGATGGCACCATTTGTTATGATATGTCTTTGGCTTAACTTCGTTTCCTTGAGGGTTAAAAAAAGGTAAGCTTGAGGATCACAGCAAAGAAAATGAGATAGTCAGACGTCGTCCGGGAGGTGATCCCGGAACGAGGCTCCAACGGTCAAGTTAGTGAGTTCCTTTAAGGTAAAATCTATTATGGAAAGAAAGAGACTGAGATTCAAGAGTCGATCCTTTCTCTTGGGGGAGACGGGGCCTTTTTATACTTGTGGTCGAGGGGAAAGATCCCCGACAGTATCTTCTACTTTTTCAGGCATGGCTGGACGAGGCGGCCTTTGATTGGTAGATCGTGCCCCGCGGGTGGCTGTCTGTTATTGGTGCAGAACGGGCAGTTGGCAGATCAAGGAGCACTACACCTATGGCTCTGGGGCAATTGGTACTCCTTTGACTTATCTGGAACGAGAGTTTCTCTCCTAAAAGGAGGACAATCCTGAGGCCAGATTACAGGCTCTAGAACGCAGGGGCTTATGGACTATGGCCCGCTCCCGACTCTTGTCAAGTAATGGGCTTTTGTTGAGCCGTTACTGAGTTGACGGCTCCGTTATCCTTTGACGTTTCTTTTGGTGAGATGCGTCAACAGGTATCGACTTGTAACATCCATAATTTCAAATCACATACTTTACCATGGTTGCACCTATACCAGGGGAGGGGAAAATTGTGATGGTGGTGGTGGTTTCACCAGTATCAAAAGATGAAAGAGGAAACAAGAGTCGGAGAAGGATATAGGAATGGAGGCAGTGAGACGAAGGTACTTTCCGGAGAGAAGGGGTTACGGATTCTAGGTCTTAGATAGTTGAGCAAGAGATATAGAGAGGAGTTTGACCTGACGTCTTTAAAGAGAGGGGAGTGGGGGTGGGATTGTTGTTACTGGCTTTTTTGTATTTTTAATTCTAGAACAATTAGAATAAATCATATATATATATATATATATATATATATATATATATATATATAAGGAGTATAATAGTCTTTTTAAGTTGAGAATGAACCAAAATCACAAAATTTATCATTTTGGACCAGTAATGCAAGCACAAACATTTTTGGACCGAAACACAAAAAATTATAAACCACATGACCATTCTTGCAAATTTTGCTAAATTAAAAGCAGGCTAAACTTTTAGGAGAGCTATGTTTTCTATTAGTCTATTAAAAAGGTTTAAACTACAATGATTGAGTAATTAGATTAATATTTCAAACTACCATATCGTTGCAGCAGTAATTAAATTTATCACTCTAAAAGAGAAATTATAACCATTTTTTATAGCTGAAATCCATATATAGCTAAGACTAGGGGGACTTTATGAGGTCTCCTCTCTAGCGTCATTAACGGTTGTTTATTAGTCAATTTTACACCTACTCATTGAAAGCATATATTAGTCGGTTCTGAGTTCCCCACATGAAAGATGATTACTCAGAAGATTTAAAGGAAAGTTTAGTGGGAGAATGACACTGTAGCACATGAAAGTTTTGGCATTTGTCTAATTTGGTCACTAAAGTTTTTTTTGGTACATTAGACCACTAAACTCGTATATGACCTGTCAATTTAGTCATTTTCCCCGCTTTTAAATGGTTTCCTGGTTGACATTTTATATGTGTCAACTAATATTTATCTTTTGGCTAATTCGATGACACGTAAGATAAGCCACGTCAATATATAAATGATATACGATGCTTAAAACCTATCATCTTCAGTTGTCGAACTTCTTTCTTCATTTTTCACTGTAAACAAAATTGAGCTAGGGTTTGTGAAGCATTTTTGTGATCGAGCTGAAGTATCAAAGAAGTCACAGCAATGGCACAATCGAAACCTAATGGACTGTTTACGATGGTGGAACTCAACTACAAAGGGGTATTTACTCGTAATCCTTTCTCTCACACTGGTGGTGTGAAAACCATGTTCAATGATGTTGACTTTTCTTCAATGACTTATTCTGAGTGTGTGACCTTCTTCGAACGTTTCATGCATGAAGATTGTAAAAAGTAATACTACTGTGAACCAGACATTTCCCTGATGGAAGGGCTTAATCCCATTTCAGATGATATGGAATATGATGCTTTTATTTTGATGCTTATGGAACATATGGTATAATTTCTGTTTATGTGGATCATATTGGGGTTGGTGTTGATGGGTGGTTTGATGATGAAGATAATGATGATGATGATGGACGTGAGTCTTGTATTGATGGTGAAAATGAAGATAACATGGATGAACTTAGGAATGTTGAGTTTGAATTTAATGAGGATGTAGTGCATATGAATAGGACATCAAATGATCCTTTCTTGAGTAAGTTATGTGTTGATGATGAGGAGGATAACAATATTGTAGATGATGATCATGGGAGAGAATTTGAACCTAACATCCAAACTCATTCCATATTTAATGAGTTATTACAATGGAAAAAACAAAAACCAATTCTAGGAATGAGATTTAAAGGTCCAGGACCAGTAAAATCAATGTTGTGCAACTATGTTGTGGCTAATAGATATCAATTGTGTTTTTAAAAAATGATAGGAAAAGACTTTTGGTGAGGTGTAGTAAGGGCTTCTTGTATGAGTGATGAAGAGAGTTTCCAAATCAAGTCACTTAAAGCTAATCATAATTATGCTAGGAACTTCAAGTTTGGATCATTGATGACATATGCATGGATTGGGAGTCACTATACCAAAGAGATTGTACAGAGTCAGAAATTAAGTGTAAGGAAGATTAGGGTAAAGGTAATGACCAAGTTTGGTATCCAAGTTAGTATGGGTCAATGTAGGAGAGCAAAGAAGTATGCACTGAATCTTATTAAAGGTAGTCTTGTTGAACATTATGGTAAGTTATGGTCATATGGGCATGAGATTTTGAGGACAAATCCTGGGTCAACTGTGAAACTAGATGTGGAGGATGGTCCAGATGGAAAGAAATATTTTAGCAAGTTCAATGTTTGTTTTCAAGGAGTTAAACAAGGTTGGATGGAAGGGTGTAGAAGGATAATAGGTCTTGATGGATGTTTTTTGAAAGGTATTTGTAAGGGGGAATTGCTTTGTGTAATTGGGAGGGATGCAAATGACAAGATATATCCTATTGCTTGGGCAGTGGTTAGTGTGAAGAACAAGTAGAATTGGAAGTGGTTTTTGGAAATTCTCATTAATGATCTAAACTTGAATTTAGGCAACGGATTCAGTTTAATGGCAGACCAACATAAGGTTAGTATTTTACATAGTAATTCATGTATATTTATTTTAAACAATTTGATTTAAACCTTCTTATTAATGCAGGGTTTAATAGAGGTTGTTAAAAAGTTGCTTCCATATGTAGAGCACAAGCAGTATGCTAGACATATTTGCCAAATTTTGCAGAAGAGATTCACTGGTGTCATATATCATACCATGTTTTGGAGAGCATCTAAATCTACAATTGAGCATGCTTTTAAAGTTTTGATTAAGGAAATTGAGACATTGAACCCAAATGCCCATCAATATCTCATGGAGAAAGATCCAAATACTTGGTCAAGAGATTTCTTTCAACCTGGCAGGTGTTGTGATGCGGTTGAAAATGGATTCTATGAAAGTTATAATGTTGTAATAGTAGATGCCAGGAAGAAGCCCATAATTACCATGTTAGAGGAGTTAAGATTGTACATGATGGACAGATTGTACAACATGGAATTAAAGGGACAACAATGGGGAAATCATATTTGTCTAGAGATAAGGGATAAGGTGAATTTGCTTAAAAAAATCATAGGTATTATCAGATACTATCTAGTAGATTAAACTAGCTTTAGGTTAGGGGAGCAACAGATGCATATGAGGTGGACTTAGAAAGGAAAACATGTTCTTGTAGGTTGTGGTATATGAATGGATATGGATGTGCTCATTTTATAGCTAGAATATCCTATCTTAATAAGGATGTAGAACCCTATATAGACAACATGTATAGCACCACCACATTTAGGAAGGCATACAGTTACATAATTGCCCCCATGAATGGCAGTGACATGTGGCCAGAGACAAATTATACTCCACCATTGCCTCTTATAAGTAGAAGTATGCCTGGTAGGCCAACTACTAACAGGAAGAAATCCACTACAGAGAATAAAGGAAAACACAGGGTTTCTAAGGCTAGAAAGAAAATCAGATGTAGTATATGCAAGGAGATAAGTCACAAAAAGGTCATTTGTCCAGAGAGAATACCCTAAAAGTTAAATGTGAAGAAACAGAAGAAACAAAAAGTTTGTGTGAATCAGAATGCAGGACAGGTAAAACCATTTCAAATTTAAATTTATTTACATATGATTTTCAACTAACATTATTATATCATGTCATGTAGGGTAGTAGAAGTGAACCTCAACAACATGAAGAGGTTGAAATGACTCCAATTGAGATGGATACTACTCAAAATGATATGCAAGCTACTCCTAATGATGTTAAATCCAGTAGCACATGGGATTTTAGTCAGTATATGCAAGTTACTCCACCTAGAAGTTATAAAGGTGAGGAGGGTGTTGTGGGTGAGGAGGTTGTTGAGGCTGAGGATGGTGTTGTGGGTGAGGAGGTTGTTGGTGCTAATGTTCAAGTTGATGAGGTTATTCCTAATGTCCAAGTTGTTGCTAATGTTCAAATTTAGGAGGTTGTTCCTATTGTCCAGGTTCAGTAGGGTAGAGTTAAACCAATTTCAGAGATTTTGAAGAAGATAAGGAGAAGAATGTCATAGAGAATCTTGACGTTGAAATTAGGCAAGAAAATTGGTGGTGTTGATGATCCAGGAAATTCTAAGGGAAAAGCTCTTCTAATTGATTAGTGTTGAATTTTTCTTTGTGTTATTTGGATTTAATGTATGTGTATTAGGATGATGGTAATTTTCATTTGAGTTTAATGTATGTGTATCTAGATCGTTGTTTGAGTTTAAGGTAATTGTCTTTGTTATGTACATGTGATGTGAAAAGGTTATGTTGGTCATTTTTATTCCATGTTGCTGTTATTAGTAAATTAAGGACGGAAAGGGTAGTTTGGTAAAGTTTTAGAGTGAACTTGTAAAGTATATTGCGTTTTGTATGTAAATTAATGACATAAAAGGATATTTTGGTCACTTATGAATGTATGTTGCCTTTTTTAAGTAAACTCATGACATAAAAGGATATTTTGGTCACTTATGAATGTATGTTGCCTTTTTAAGTAAACTCATGACATAAAAGGGTATTTTGGTCATTTATGAAACTATGTTGCTTTTTAAGTAAACTCATGACATAAAAGGGTATTTTGGTCACTTATGAAAGTATGTTGTCTTTTTAAGTAAAGTCATGACATAAAAGGGTATTTTGTGCATGCATGTGAATGTGATAAAGGTGGTCTTTACGACAAATGGCTTTGTATATTTATGCATGGAAAATTTTGGAATAATGTGCATGCATGTGAATGTGTTATATGGTCCTGGATATGGTTCTTAATGGCTTGAAAGGTCCCATTTTTCCATTATAAAAACATCCACTGAGTATTAACTGAAAATGGTCCCCATACATAGTGTACTTTCACATGGACCACTTTCTACTTTATTCCCAATATAATACCATGCACTGCAACCAATTTAATTATATATAATAAAAGGAAAACAAGCCATGCATGTTTCAATAACATAAACATTTCCAACATCTGATTATACAAAATGTCGTACAATTGGGACTTTCAATTTGGCTTTACAACAGTTATAAAATGCCCTTTCATTAGGGACTTACCAGCTTACAACATCAACACACCAAGGTTGACACCCCCAAATTCTAACTAAAAGCAGCTTCCAAACATACAAAATGCCAATCATTACTGAGTTTTCTAGTATGCCTTTACAAAAACATACAAAAGCTTACACCAACCCCCTAACTAACTACAATCACTCCCTAACATCAAAACACAAAATACCAAGCCAACAAACAACAATGCAACTATCATCTTGTATCTGCCTATTGCCTTCCTTGAATCAGAAACATCTTTCTCACTCTTTGCCACCTTACACTTCTCTTGTGACAGCAAGAACTCAACTTCAGCAATCCTTGTCCTCAAATTGTTCATCTCAGATAAATCCTTTTTAGCATCCAGTTTTTGCTTCAAAGAATATAGAAGGTTTTTGTAGCGCCCTTGTTCCTGTTCATCGTCTTTCCATTCAAAGAAGTTACATTTCTTGAGCCTAGTCTGTAAATAGCCAATCCATTAAAAAATGAAAATGCTTTGATTTAGATAGTAAATAAAGATTAAGGAAATCAGTTGTCTTTAATGTATTAATGAAATGGGTTTGATTCACGATCACAAAGATTCCTCAAGAAGAAAATAAAATTAGGGTTTTTTTCAAAATACAAATCTAGCATGATCGGCTTTTCACCACAGTCAAACCCTAAAATACGAAGGTAGCATGATCGGGATTATCGGGACCTACCAAACTGATTTAACAATTCCAGAAACCCCTCACATGGTTTGCTATCTTCCAACACATTCATTCTTTAGTCGGAACGTTGCAATCGCAAAGCTTTACCCCTTCTCGCACTTGAACACGAGTCACTTGTAGCTGATTCCTTGAAGTGGACGAGTTGGAAGACATTGTTCTTGAGGATGGCAAGAGTCAGTGGAGAGGATTTGACTTTTCACAAAAGGGTAAGTAACATTTGAATAATGGTCCGATTCAGGGTTTCAATTAATAAGGGTTGTTGGACAAGTCAGCTTCTTCGACACATCAATATCCCACATACGTGTTACAAATAAGCTTATTGGCCACATCACCCAGCCACATAAGTATCGAAACCTGTACACCGTCTAATTTTTTTGAATAATGGTGTAATTAAAAGGTGAAAATGGAGTTTAGTGGTCTAATGTACCAAAAAAAACTTTAGCGACCAAATTTGACAAATACCAAAACTTTCATGTGCTACAGTGTCATTTTCCCAAGTTTATTACAGGTTTAGCTTTGAATGTAAGGTATAGACTACAGTATATTTACACATATTGTCTTTTTAAAATGAATAGTTTTTGAGTTAAGTGACACCTAGTGTCTTAACTCAAATAGTTGTATATCTAGGTTTCCTTCTTCACTTATGTTTCAGAATTTACATTGATAAAGTCATCATACGATTCTCAATTGTATAAATGATATGGTTCTGATTCATAGATAATAGAAGTTAAAAGTCAGTATACGAAAAATTATAGCTTTCCAGTTAAGGATGTTAGGAAGTTAAGGATTGGATAAAGTGTTTATGAACAAACACTGTTTTTTTTTTTAATCCATACTAAGATTTTGAACTCAACGCCAATGGCTGCTGTCGTGCAAGATAAGGAACTTCCACAACTGTCCCAAAAACATCATCTCCAACAACAACTGTGTCCCCTTTTGAAGCAGCTTTTCTCTTGATATACCCTAAACCAAAATACTCATTTCCCCCTTTTCCATCCGTATAACTTGTCAACTTTCCTACCTACAAAAAAACGTATTATAACATATCTTGGTTTCTTTATTTTTAGTTTTTAATTAAAAAAAATTATATTATACCTTCTTTCCTTCAACTGTAACTGGAGTACCGGGTTTCACTGGGGATGAAAGTTGAATGCCCCATAACTTCTGTTTTATGCCATCGTATGTGATTAATCTGGATATGGTTTCTTGCCCTTTGTAACAACCTGATACGATTTTTTACTTTTTACTTTTTACTTTTTACTTTTTGTTTTAATAAAATATTAAAAGAAAAAATATAAAATATTTATTACCTTTGTTTAAGGACACTGCATTCCAAAGACCAGCCTCCAGAACATTAAACTCATCGGTAAGCTCATTACCAGGTGTTGGCCTTCCTGTACATTTGAGAAAATCTATCCAATTATAGCATTGTACTTTTAATTTATTTTTTTAATTATGAAAGTAAGTTGCTATTTTTTTTATTTGACCTTGAAGAATTCGATATGTTTCGAATGCATTTGAACCCATTGGAGTTGCATTGTGACTTAAAAGAGTTTTCCAAATCATTCCTGCAGCTGATGGTGACATCATCAGTGAGAAACCTTCTTCAGAGATCACACTTCCCACTGCCACAGTTACTGGATTACCGCTGACCTGGAATTTTAAACTTTTTAAATAAATTCTCCAACTAAATAGTCACCAATTTTAGCAAAATAATAATTGTTATTACTTTGATAAAACTGCATACAGAAATAACTTACATTGTAATGCTTATGTGAGCCATAAGGTTGTCCAATAAGATCACCAAGATTCAAATCCACCATTACCTGTCAAAATACCATATACAGAATTATTAAAATCATTGCACTTTCAGAAGATAAATAATGCAATTAAAAAAATAAAAACAAAAAAGTTGAAGTTCATGGAAGCCATACTTGATTGCTTTTTGGTCCAATTAATGCAAATAAGCAAGTCTTGTTACTAATGTCTTGAATTTCAACCTTGTCAGCAAAAAATATGTACCTAAATTTTATATACAAAGCAATAATTCAAGAAAGTTGATTATGTATTAACTATCAAAAAAGTTAGTTACAGTGGGAGTTGGTTACATTCTGTTATAAAATGTGTCAAAAAACTTACTTTTTTAACATTTCACTGATACTTTTACTTGTTGATGGTGATACAACTAGTGTAACTGCTGTTTTCTGTAAAATAGAAACACTTGTAAGATTTATAAAAACAACTTTTTTAATCAAGTAATACGACATTTTTGGGATTAATAAAATTACCATGATCCATGCTTGTGCAATGTCAATTGTTCTAGCAGTTGGAGTAACAAAGACAGTGTCACATCCCTACACGATTCAGTTTTAAAATAATCAACACCAAGATTAGACAAAGTAACAAAAGACTGACTTACCCCTCCTTCAGAGAGTGCTTCAAAATTTGCTGTACTTTGGTTGTGAAGAAATGGTATGCGATCTTCTCCACTCACTGTGTATCAATAGAAATTTGGAAATTCGAATACTACATAATTAATTCTGAGAGATTATAAAAATATGTATAGAAAGTTTACCTCTTATTCTACCATAATGGGAAAGATCAACAACCTGCAAACAATGGAAAAAAGTAAAATTACTCTGAAAAATGTATAAAACATTATAATGTGAAGGATACAAGAAGATTAACAATGACAAGCATAAAGCACCTGTTAGTACCCACCACAGTGCCATTGTCAACTGCATCTAGCGCCTCTTCATCGTTATTGAATGTTTCAATAATCCAATCTTCTGACACTTTTGCCCCTGCTATAGCCATGTCATCCTACAAGAACCAAATAATTCAATTTTTATTGGCTTAAAGTTGAAGGAACATTATGTATGATTAATATAATAGTGTATAATTATCTGGTTAAATGTCGATGACATATTTACATTAGGTGCTAATCAAAGTATTGTGCATAAACTAAAGACATTTCGGTGTTCTAAATCTAATAAGAAAGACATGGATGAAGCAAATGTCATATTGGCTGTTAAAATTATACTTATAAATGATCTTACAGACTACTTAAGATCATTTATAAGTAAGCATTAAGCATACAACCTCAGCACTTGAAGAAGTAAATTAAGGAAAGCAGTAAATCACTACAACAGTCGGTCAAATTGAATAACCTAAACTTTAAAAATGAATTTTCGGATGATTAGTACTACACTTAACACATAATAACACGAAATGAATCTCAGATATCATCAATAGATTGTTAATCGAACACTTCTACACAGCATAAAAATTGTTACAAAACAGAAAACTTGAAGCTACACACTTGTGATGCATATCTGCTTACATAAAGGTCGTGGTCAATCGGAGGAGGAGAGAGGTCGAAAGGTATTGCGGCGACGGGTGCGAGGTTGGAAGAATAGGTAGTTGGTGAGAGTGGCTTCCGACTACGGATGCAAACCGCATCGTTGTGTGAATCACGAGAACCGAACGCCGACAGCTGAAAGGACAACAGAAGCCGGGAAGAGTGCGTTTGGTTGACGCTCCGGCGATGGAGTGTGGAAGTGGTGGCGTTAGAAATCGCGTGGCTAACAGAGGATAATAGCGCGACCATTCTTTCTATTTGTGTTTTGGCTTATTGCTGATTGCTCACTGCTCCCACTTTAAAGAATCAAGAATAAACTACATTGTTGTCGATGTGCTTGAGTTAACTTTTGGATAACAGAAAAAAAAAATAAGTTGGATAACCATAGCATTTCAATGCAAAATACGATTTGGTATCATTTAAATAGTATCTAACACAAAGAACAGGTTTGAAAAACTCATTAATAAGTTTGAAATTGGTGACATAATCAAATTCGAAATTCATAAATAAATTAGCAAACTCTAACCAAAGGGCTTTTATTAGGTGTTAATCCTCGTTTCTTAAAGTGTCGTATGGTGGATTAGATTTGTAGATTCGGAGTTTTTAGGAATAGCTTAGGTTTATGGATTAAGAGTATTTTAGAAAAATTAGAAACTCTAGTTTGAAGATTTAAAAGTTTGATAGGGTGTTTGGCTAAGCTTAAAAAATAAATTGTTCAACTTATTATCAATTCCACACCAATATAAGTTAAAATGAGTATTTTGATAGACTATTTTTTTTAAACAGCGATGTGGAACCAAAGATAAATCATTTTTGATAAGTTATTCATCCCTAATATATCAAAACTCTTTATAACTTATAATTGTCCAACATCTCTAGGAAGCTTTTTTTTAGTCATTTTGCCAAACACTAAAAAAAGGTTATCAACTTATAGCTTTATTCGGCCTACAAAAGCTAGGTTTGCAATGCAAGATAGAATCACAATTCACTAAATCATAATGAAAACCGTAAAAAGATGTGAAATAATACAAGAAAATGTGACTTGACCAAACCTTTTGTCACACTTTATATAAAATAAACCAAACCCTAAAACCCATCACTTAAATACACATCTCTCCAATGAGATGAACCAGAATTGTATCTTCACTATATCAACACAACCAACTTATAAATAAATCAACAGAAAATAATAAATAATACCACACATCAAAACTGGAACAAGAAAACCATGCACCTCCATTAGGGAAAACTGGAGACATTCTGGTTGACCAAGTCAAACCAAAAACCTGCATCCACCATATCATACATACAATAATTAATAAAGGAATGAAACTGTTAATTCCATTGAAATGAAAGTAAATTATACCTGAGTGAAAAATGCTGGTGTTTCTAGCAAGCTGAAAACTTTCAAAAAAAGAATATTCCACAAGATGCCAAATTGGACATGAACTTGCACTTAATTACGGTCAACTCTTGGGTCAACTCTTTGGTGCAATGGCAGCCAAAGCATTGGCATGTGTAGGTGAAAGATTACTCAACAGAGGCTGCATTTGTTGACCATATATTGATAATAAATGAGCAAAAGCCCTTCCTATTTGAGCTTTGACTTCTGGAGTTTCAACTGGAGATAAAGCCACTTGTGCAAAAACATTAACCAGATCCGGAACTAAAGGAGCAATCTATTTACAATAGAACAAAACTTTAGTGGCCAAATTGGTATAAACAATAGTTCAGGGGCTAAACCATAAACAAATAGTTCATTACTACCTGTGGGTTTGATGTTAGAACAAGGCTGCAAATGCAGCTGTAAACAGGCATGGATTCTTCATGGTCTTCTTTTAAAGGAAGAACCTTGACAAAAACAGGGAGTACCTAGAAATATTTAAATAAATAAATACAAGTTAATTTCATTTATTTGTTTTGTTTATTATTTATTATTTATATTTATATATATGAACCTGGTTTAATGGGATGGAATCCTGATGTGCCATAATCATTCTTGCAACAGCTCCAGCAGCATTGTCTCTTACTGCATCATCTGGCTCTGATTCTCCAAATAATGGATAAAGGCCTCTCAACACATCACCAAAGTATCTGATTTATTCATAAGAGAGAAATAAAATAAATCATTACAAAATATTGTTTAAACATCATTTATGTATGAAGAAAGTAGAAGAATAAATACTTGAGACTGGTGACACCACCATTTTTGCACAACTCCCCAACACAGAATGCAGCGTTTCTCCTATTAGTTGCATCTGATGAACCTAATTCTTTAAGTACCAAGGGCATTATGGTCTGAAACATGAAATGAAATATTCAAAAAAACGAAAACTGATAAACATGGAATTTGAAAAATATGTAAAATGACAAGAAAGTACATCGACATAGGCAGCAATTGGAGCACCCATATCCTGAGCAACTTCAGCAAGGCATGCAACCACCATTGTCCGATCTTGTGATGGTCGTGATCCTTTCTGTAAGACAACAATTTAAATGACTAAAATACCCTCGTCATGTGTATATACTAAATAGATACATATAAGAAAGCTCACAGCGAATTTCATTAAAGGCTCAAAAAGAGTGGAAAAGATTGGTGCAAAGTGGGACCCCATGGCTTTAGCAAATGCAGGAAGAAGATCTGAAACAGCATCCATAAGCACTTCATCATGGCTAGTATCATCATCATCAACATCACTATCTGATTCTATTTGTTGACAAACTGATTCCTGTTTAAGTAAGACCAGAGTTGACTCTACAATCCGAGGCATGTCTGATGAGAACATTTAACAAGTTAGTTTTCATAATAAAAGAAAAATTAATTAAAAGACATTAACATGTTTCATATAAAAAAAAAACTAAAAATTTCCATACATGGTTCGACAGTAACATATCCAAAATCCTTGATCATGTCTGCTACACTCATGCAAGCTTGAGCAACAACTTCTTTGTCATCATCTTCGTTCATTGTCTTGATATAAATAGTCATCACTGTATCTGAATTTTATAAAATTGTGAAAAGATCAAAGAACAGAGTCAAAATCTTGAGATTCCAAAAGTCATATGGTTAATTTTTTGCCACTGATAAGTCGACTACTCACCAAGAATTTCTTTTGCCTTTGATGCTCCATCCTGAAAAAAAAAACACAAAAGATTTATCTTCCATGAACAAACAAAATACCAAAAAACAACTACAAAAAATCTGTAAAAGAAAAAATGGACAAGAAAATACTTACACTATGACCTTGGAAGACTGCATGAGCAGCTGTCAGAATATCTGCCATTCAAAACCAACTAAACATTAGATCTGGAAAGAACAATGTATACAACCAAAAACATTCCTATATTTTGTATTTTTATGTGTATATAACAATATTAATCTAAATATGTAATTATGGATGTTGGAACTTACGTTTTAAGCCAGTGATGGCTTGAAGTCGAACATCTTCATGAAAATAACTAGAATGCTTCACCAGAATCCTCAATGATTCTTCCAAATATCTTGAATTTTATTAAAGAAACTACAGGCTACAGTTAAGTTGGTTTATAAATAAAATTTACAAAACTATAAATCCAAAGGATACGGGGCATAAGCACTCTTTGTATGTAAGGCAAATAAACCAAGAGCTTGAGTTGCAGCAGCCTTTTCATCCAAAACACCAGTTCTTATACTGATATTTCTCACTCTTGGTTCATCATGAGTTTCATCATCAGATGAAACTCCACCAAATCCATTCACATTTTCATCTTCATCAGAATCATCAATATCAACAGCAGATCCATCATCAAGATTGCATGAAGAAAACGCCAAAGGAACAACATGTGGAAGATACTGTTTTTTTATGATATAAAGTTATGTCACACATGCACACTCACAAATTTTTTAATTTTTTTTTCAAATACCTGAATCATTCCATCCTCCAAGATTTCTGCTACATTGCTGAAGAATCCATGAGTATACTCACGAAGTTCACTGTATTCCAGCCCATACCCCTAAGTTTATATTTAGTTACTAGTCAAACTCAAAAACAATTGAAAATATAAAGATTTAGATGGAGATAAACTATAAAGAGAGGGGTATTACGGTAATTGCGGCTTCAATGAAAGGAGGTAAAATCGGTTCCATTCTTGCCCTTCCCACAACCATGGCAACTATTCCTACAAGCTCTGTAGCTCTTGCTCTTGAACGAAGATCTTCATCATTTGTAAGCACCATGAAAGATTTCATGAGTTCCAAAACTTGTTCAGCATATGGAAGAAATGCTTGCTCTGAAGCAGATGCAACTGAACCAATTGCAGACTGTAGAAAGGAAAAGGAAAGTTCTAGAAGCTCATTAATGCTATCAAATTCAAATCATTTATAATATAAATATATAAAGATTGTGTTTTTACCATGCATGTTTCCTGTAACATTCGCTGACTGGTTTGCAATGCAGCAAATAGTTTTCCCATTAAAGAATCAAGAAATGGAAGAATTTCTTCACCCATGTTCTCACAAAATGCAGCTAATGCGTAGTATGATTTCTCCTGAAAAAAATAGAATTGAATTTCATTAACATGTGAAGATAAAGACTTTGTAATAATATCTATTTACCTTGACTTCATCAGAAGAATCTTCTAAGGCGTTTAGAATGCAAGGAAGAACACTTTCATAATGTGAAATAATCTCAGGCTGCAAATACTCTGCAAATTGACCTAATGCAAAAGAGGAAGCTCCTCTTACAACCTGTTCAGGGTCTCTTAAAGCCCCTAACACAATTTGCAAAATTGGTCCAAGTTTCTCTTTCATTAACTCCAAACACCCCTCTGAAACAACACCCAAAACTGTGACTGAAGCTTCACGAAACTTCGGGTCAACACTTTGACTACTCAAACTAGCAAATTCAAAGACGCCTGGAAAAACATGTTTTGGTAACTTTAATGACAAGGTGTCAAGAACTTCTGCAGCAGCACGATCTGGCGCCAGGTCATCATCGTCTTCTTCGCTATTGGTGGACTCTGTAAGCAGTGGGCACATGATTTGAAGGATTGGGGCGATTAGCTTGTGTTTCTTGAGGGAACTGGATTTGAACTTTGCAAGCCATGAAATGATTTGAATAGCCTGAAACATGAATTATGTTAACAGGAAGTCATGAAATGATTTGAGGGCATTCACGTCTTTTGCACTGCTAACCTGATGGCGTGTGCTGGAGTCCAAATTTGGACTTGAGCAAACTTCAAGAGAGAATTGGACTATGGCTTTGACTGAGTCACCAAGAAGAGGTGCTGGAGATTCAATCAGTTCATCAAATATCTCAAAAGC